CCCGCTGACCTCCTCGCCCTGGGTACGCGGCGCACAGCCGAAGTTCTCCAGAATAGCTCCGGTCCCCGGCGAGCTGGCGGCCGAGTCTCCAGGACCACAGCGCGACGCGTTGCCCTAGTTAGCCCGAGACGGCGGCGAAGCACGCAGCGATGCCACACGTGCCCTCCTCGCTAAGCTCGGCCGCTTCCCACCCTTGCAAAAGCAGCGCTGGCGGTTACATAAGCGCCCCCAGAAAGAAGGCGATCTCGCCTCCGTCCCACCCTGCGTGCTTCGCTCGGTTTCCAGGGTTCGGGCTGGGGATGTAACTGCACATGTAGCTGTGGTCCTGATACTTTAGCATCAGGAGTCAGGGGAAGGAGGAGTCTGCCCTCTGTTTTCCAGGCCCAGGTTACTTCCTTCTCTGTCGTGGCATTTATTATTACTGCTAATTCATTCTTGTTTTGTTTTTTCTGTTTTGGTTCTTTGAGAGGCGGCCCCTGTGGTCGTTAATTTTCTGTCGTTGCTGAGACAAATACCCGACACCCAAAGTTAGAGGGAAGGGGTTTGTTTGACTTACACTTTGTAGAGCTTTCAGTCCACAATTTCTGGCTCCAAGGTAGGGATGGCAAACAGGCAAGGGAGAGGAGAAACAAGGTGTGACAAAGTAGCAAAGGCAACAAGGGACAGTTTAACAGCATTTTCCTGGCCCTTCAGTCTTATTTAGACTACCAGGATTGGGGTGGTGCCAAACTAATCGCTCACTTGTAGTGGTTTACTAATCACGCCCTTAACGCCAGCATCCCACATGCCAGATTCAGCCACCTCTGAAAAAAAGTCCCACTTCATCCGCATGAGGCTTTGGGGGGACGTCTAAATACAAGCCTCAACAGCCTCCTGACATGGGTAGTTCATGCTGGCCAGGAACTGATGGCAGTCCTTCTACCTGAGCCTCCATTCTGGAATTAAAGGCGTGTGTCACCGTGCCTGGCTTAGTTATAATTCATTCTTGCTATGGGCCTCAATCCAACGTTAATTACAATACTGTTGAGAGTTCTTGTTAGTCTTTTTTAAACTTAATATGTTTAAGTATTGCTGGAGATAGAATATTTACATTGTATTTTTTTTCTTCTAAATCTTTGTTCCCTAAGATGAAGTATAATTTCATTGTTTTATTACATGTTAAGATTTTTCATTTCCTCCAACTTCACAAATTGGGCATTATTTCTCTACTTCAAATAACCTAAAGGTGTAACGATATTAGTGGGCTAGGCTGAGCGAATGGAAAACAGCCCCCACCTTTCACCCCCCAACAGCTCTGCTCCTTAGCTCATCGGAGACATCAGGCTCCTGGACTGTCCAAGCTCTTTTTTCAGCTGGATGAGCACAGAGGTTTAATTACTAACCCCAAATTTAGAGAGTCGGTTTTCTTATCCAGTTTTCCTTTGGATCAGCAGTTTATCTTGGAAATGATGTTGAATAGAGCATGAAGTTTAAACTGCTAGCCACTTCTAAGTAGTAGTCTAGAGTAAAATCTAGCCTTAAACAAAAAATATCCAGATGAAGGTACTAAAAATGATATTTTGGTATGTCTACCGATATCTGAAAATTTTCTAGTGTTTTTACCCATCAGGGCCTCATTACGCAGCTAAGGCTGGCCCTGAACTCACCATGTGTGGGGGACCACCCCACTGATTATGCCCAGAGAGGCTGTGAGCAGTGCAGGCTGTACAGAGTTAACCACACAACTGGCTTGTTTAGTTGGCACCAGGGATCGAACTCAGGACCTTGCGCTTGTGAGGCAGGTGCAGTACCACCGAGCTACATCCCCGGCCCACACTGGCTTGTTTGGAGAAGTGAATCCAACCAAAGCCTACGTGACTAGATACCATGGCAGCCGAGGTCAGAGTGACTCACACTCAAATTCCATTCCCAAAATTAAGAACGCTTCATCTCTTGCAACCCTTGAATGCCTCCATAGTGTATCCCTAGGAACCACACGTGGCCCTTTCACCCTAACCTAACTAGGATATCACCGATAAACACCAATGGCTTTGGCTGGAGAGGGTCTTTGCTTCTTAGCACTGGCCATTCTGGCTCTGGGTCTCTCCCTCTCTCTCTCTCTCTCTCTCTCTCTCTCTCTCTCCCCCCCCCCCCCCAACTCTTTCTTCTCGCATTGCTCCGAGCAGGAGATCAGACCCGTTGCAGGAATCTCCAAAACTAGCACCCAGCATGACAACAGCATGAGCCCGCAAGGGATGGCCCGCTCAGTGCACGCCACTCAGAGGGCACAGGCCCTCACATGACCAACTGGAGGCAAAGTAAGGTGAGTGCTTCCAACCCGAGTAGAACGTCTGCTGGGATGAAAACATGGGAAAATCACTTTCAGCTGAAGAACTACATTCCATCTAGTTGCTCCGTACCCTTCTTAAACAAACAAAATGCACGGTGCTGGAAGAAATGCTGCAGGAGATAGTTAAATATAATGCTTGGTTTCCACAAACAAGAACCTTGGCTGTGGTTCCAGACAACAAACAAGCAGTTCTGTCCCCCAAGACCTTGTGCACTCCTTGGGTCCCTTACAACCGAGCGCAGAGCTTCAAGCTTCCACTCCTCAGCACTCTGCCCTGGGGAGAACCACTTGGTTTCGGTCTTAGAGCAACTGCTCGCCAAACCTGCTCTCTCTCATGGCAGGCTCGCTCCTCAGAGAACATGACATCATTCCAGGCAAACCCAGCGCGCCCCTCAGGGAGGTCGCCTGACCACCTCTCCACCTGACTTACTAAAAGGTGGGGCGCAAAGGCATGAGAACTGCTCAGCTTCAGTGTCCCAGGAATTGTGGGCAGCGCGCCACAGACCGACTCAGGAAAAAAACAAACAAAACCCACACCCAGGTAGGAAAGAACTGAAATGAGAAAATAAGCAAATGGAATGAAAATAGCTAGGAAAGCTCTAGAGAGTACAAAGCAAAATAGTGAGAAAAATTCTAGATTTGAGCCCAAGCCCAGTGCTCTCTGATGCTGCCTGTTCTGGAAATCAAAACAACCCCATACTACAGCTGCACAGTCAAGCTGAAAAACTTTAACTGTGCTCTGCCAGACAGAAAGGTTTTACCAGAGGAATCAAGTTACAAATTTAAATTAGTTGATATATGTACTTTTGGTTTCCAATTTGGTTTAATTGGTGTGCTTAAAACATGTCCTGCGGAGGCCGGGAATTTAGCTCAGTGGTTCCACTACCTGCCTCGCAAGCGCAAGGTCCTGAGTTCAATCCCCGGTACCAAAAACAAAACATGTCTTGTGCATTGCAAACTGTTGATTGTAATTGTAGGGTTAACTTGTTCTCTCTGCTTGTTGACTTAAGAAC